CATATACATTACTGAATGTTTCTATAGCTGGATTTAGGTAGACATACGTTACTGAATGTTTCTATAGCTGGATTAAGGTAGACATACATTACTGAATGTTTCTATAGCTGTAGACATACATTACTGCTAGATTCTGTAGCTGTATTAAGCTAGACATACATTACTGCTAGATTCTGTAGCTGTATTAAGCTAGACATACATTACTGCTAGATTCTGTAGCTGTATTAAGCTAGACATACATTACTGCTAGATTCTGTAGCTGTATTAAGCTAGACATACATTACTGCTAGATTCTGTAGCTGTATTAAGCTAGACATACTGCTTTGTTATGCATGTGTGAATCGTAGTTCATTTAATTATCTCTGTGTTCGTACTTGTTAGAACTTGTACAGGTTGAGTTATTGTTACAACAGTTTCTCGACGACAGTTTTCCCATTTTTGTAAACAAATCTTCACCCAGTGTACTAAATTTATTTTAAAATGATGAACGTTTAGACACTCGTAATATATTGAGAGTTTGAAAAAACGCTGGTGTACAAAGTATACACATGTGTGTGTGTCAATCACTTATAATTGAATTACATAAAGTATGATATTGCTGCTTCAATCTTGAAGTTGGCCCAGCATGGCCAGGTGGTTAGGGCAATCTGAGGGTCGCGGGTTCGAATCCCCGTCCCACCAAACATGCTCGTTCTTTCAGCCGTGGGGCATTATAATGTGACGGTGAATCCCACTATTTGTTGATAAAAGAGTACTGGTTTGAATGCAACTATTTTTACCTCATCCTGATAAAATTAATATGAAATTGGTATTTTCAGGTGAAACTGATTATAATTTGTAGCTTCACCAGATAAGTTCGTTTAAGGAGAGATTTGACAATATAATAGTTATCACAGAACAGTGTTGAACTAATACCGGCTAACTTTAAATTGAAGACTAAGAAACAGACTGGGCACAATGTTTAATGTACTATGACAAAAAATGATTATTAAAAGTTAAACAAAAACACAGTGCGTGTACTTGCTCCTTAAGTTTAGACAATCGATTTCTTTCAGATGTTTCTCACCTTCAAATCAGAATCATCCTCCACACTGACTAAATCCGAGCTTTATACCCACAACTGAACTTCACTTTTACCAAGTGCCACTGAGCTTCTATGTTACTGGTCATAATCCTTCTCTATTGGTCAGACCTCAATATCTAGGCGTTACCTGTTTAGCCAGGAGAGAATAAAAAATTCATATACATATGCTAAATGAATAAAGAAAGAATTATGTTTCTCATTTTTCGGGGGGGGGGGAAGTACACATTTAGATAAACCTATTAGCACATGTTTAAAAGTAGGTAACAATTGGCTGATCGTTTGAAAAAACAGTCAGTGCTAATAATAAAGAATAGCAATTATCTCTGCTGTGCCAAGGCTATTATTCTCGATCAGGCATATCTCAGAAAGCATCCTATTTATAAATATATTAGTGATCAACGAAGATCACTACTTATGGGCATGGCTAGAGAACTCCATGATTCGTGTAATGTTTCATTTGGTCCTTGTGGAATAGAAGAGATAACGACATTTGTGCGTAACTTAAAAGTTCAAATACACATTGTGTCTTCAGATACCTTTAATAGAGTTATCTATCTACCTACCTATCTATTTTATTCTATCAGCGGTATCGCCGTAGGCCTATGATTAGCTGAATTTTCGTTTAGGGAGCAAATCAATAGGGCATAAGTCTTGACCCAAACAAACCCCATTTCGTACAAATGAAGAGCTAAAAATAATTCACTTAGGCCTATTGGATGGGCAAGTTCACAATGAAATAGTGAATTAAGTAAACCAAGTATAGCTAAAAAAAATTAAATTAGCTGATTAGCTATCTTGCTCACGCGGCGCTAAAAATTCCGCCATCAAAATTACTAATAGGAAGCCTAAATCTCTGCTCAAAGCAATAAAGTATACCTACCACTCCAGTGATATATAGCTTTAGGCCTAAAATATTCAGTCAAACTTGAAAGTTTAGTCCCTCTTCAAATGAAGGTAAACTCAGATATATAACAACAACAGTGCAGTAGCAGACATTTTCGGCTAGCAGATGACGCATGCTAATGAATCGAACACACGCACAATTTTCTAGGAAACATAGGAATTTCAGCATTACATTTAATTTTTTATTTTCCTTTTAGAAAATAAATGTCAAATAGTCACTGCCACTTGAATTTTTGTTTGATATTTTATATTTAAATGTCTTGAGGTATATTAATTTAACGTAGTGAACCTTACTATAAAGATGATTCATTATGTGTGTATTAGCATCACCTAGAGTTGGCTGACTTGATAGTTGTAAATTTTCGAACAGTAACTGGAAGTTATACGATGCTATATATGAGATTTTTTATTTTAGGATTATTTCCCGAAAAGGGGCACATTTTAACCTTTCTATATACTTTTGGTTTGCATCACCCAGGGTGAGCAGGCTTGATTACCATAATATTTTTACATAGTAACTGAAAATTTCCCACCGTGTACATGGATTATTTTGTTTTACGATTTTTACCTGCGAAGAGGGATAAAAAAAAGACCATGAAATATGGAACATTTCCACTTTTTTTGTAGACTTTTGGCTTTGAATTTATAACCACAAGTACTTAATCAGTTAGATGAATCAGTTATTACCTTTAACAAAACAAGGTATGCAATTAGCATCGAATGAGAAAAAAGGAAAGGGAACATCATCTAATATTGTCCTTTATACAGTTTTTGCTTCTTTAACTGGTACCCTCAACTAGTTTGAAAATAAAAATCTTCCTAACAGTTCATTAATCTCCAAGCTGCATGGAATAGAAATCAAAGATGACATAGACTACATCATCATCAGGCCTCAAGTGGTCCATAGGGAATCTATGAAGGTTATGTGTCACTTCATTCGTTCTTCTGCCCATTCTTGAACTTGTATTCTGTCCAGGTCTTTATTTTTCTACACCAAATATCTTTCAGTCTGCCTCTTCTTCTAACTGGTCTCCGAGCCATTGCTTGTCTTGGCTGTCCATTCTCCTTCATTTCTTAAACATGGTCATTATATCTCCATCTACACAACTTGATCCTTTCCTATGATCGATTGTTGTCTTCTCTCCCTTATTTTTTTTTCACTTATATGATCAAACCATATTATCTTCATCATGTTTCACAAGTACTCTCAAAACTTCTCAATCTATTTTAAATTTCCTCTAATTCCTTCCATGTCTCACTTCCACATAAGAAAACCGAAAGAACCAACAACTTAAGCTTCATCTTGTTTGTTATTAAGCACAAAGGGCTTTCTGTGTTCTGCCCACCAAGGGTATCAAAACCTGGTTTCTAGCAGTATAAGTCCACAGACATACCGCTGTGCCACTGGGGGGCAAGCTTTATCTTAATAGATAAACCTGCATTATTCCACATCCCATTCAGTTTTCTAAAAGCTACATTTGTTTTTCTAAATCTTTTCCTTACTTCCTAAATTAATCTCAAAGAACCATTCTTGGGACCACTTTGAAACTGTTAAGTTTATTTGTGGATAGATATTTATAATCAATTACAGTTAATTGATTAGAAAGGAAATTCAGTAAGGATAGAGTCAGGAAATGTACAAAACACTTGTAGGGGCATATTTTGGGAGGCATCCCCCAAACTCAGCAGGAAGGGGCCAAAATGGCAGTTGGATGAATGTAGTCCTATAGAACGAAGATGATTGGGATACACTCATGTACCTTTTGACCATCCAATCATTTAATATCAGTAATGTTAGTTGTTCTACCACTGGCTCTCTTACTTATTCCTTCGTGTTCCCTATTCACGGTATTATTATGGTTGTGTATCTAAATACATTATAACTTAATTCATAACTCTCTAGGTTAATAGAAAAGATAGAGTGGTGTGTACCTAAGTATAATATTACAAAGAGAGAAGTTCACGATCTGTGGTAAAGAGGTAAAGATATAATGGTAGGTGCCAAATCTTGCATCCCCGCTTCTTCTTTTACTGATGGTATTTTTTGTGATAATTCTGGTCTGGTTACTGACTGTTGACTGCAATTGCAGCTTCTTCTAGAAGAGTTATTTACCCAATACACTGATGTCATTGTTGCCCTCTTCGTTTTCCATGTCTAATGTCCATCAATCATGCATGGATGACGACTTCTGAGAGCCTATTTGGAAAACCATGGAAGACGTCTGTGAATAGTGTAGCATAGGTTCCTGCTTATACTTGAATCATACAAAGAAACTTTCATGTTGACTTGAATTTGTGGCTGAATTCTTAGTCTTGATGGAGCCAGACCTTTTGGTATTCAACCCATTACAAAGATAGTATTTCTTCCTAGTATAGTTGGATGAAGTTTTCACTTTTTGTCCATCTCAGGCAAGATGAGATGATCATAGTTTGAGATGCAGTGACGTAGCTAGTTGATTGTTCAGCTTACGTTGTAGGTTACGAATTAGGAGTGCTTCCTTTTTTCTTAGCTTCCATTCATCTTTCACTGAGTCTATTACTCTGAAGTGTCACTGTTAGATTCTTCGTTACAGTTTTTGCTTAGGTGGTTGTAAATTCCAGAGTTATTGAAAGGGCTGTTATGCGCATGCTCCTTGATCTGGTAGCTAAGTTTCGAGTCGTTGACCCAATCTAGACTTGCCTGTAGCAAGGGCACAAATATTTTTTTAGTACTAGCGATTTTTGAAGGAGGTATTTTGTCTTTAAACATGAAAAAATTGCGTATCCATTTGTTCGGGTTGAAGATTGCTCTTAGTCTGACTTGGGGTTAATGCTTTTGATTTTACTTTTTAGTTTGATGCCGTGGGAACCAGTAAAGGTTAACACCAAGGTGATAGGATATTTAGTAACATTGAAGTCAGGAATATGGGGGTTGTAAACCTCATTGACATATTCAAAAATATTTTTGTTGATGAGTGCTAGAGGGAAGGCATTTTTAATCAAATATTTTTAATATTCATAAATTCATCATGAAAATAACCATAAATTAGTTTTGTAACAATCAGGTATAAATGTGTTGAAATGACAGTACAGGCCAGAAAATGTTGGTTTGTGCTAGTACTTAGTTTTGAACCTGTTTTTCCGGTTGATGACTTCTAGATCTAAAAAAAAGGAAGCTTAGATTCTTTTTGCTTCTCAACCGTGAACTCGATATCCCTGTGCTTTGAATTTAAATAATCTTGAAACTTTTTGACATGGTTTTGCTTTTTGAATACAATAAAAGTGTCATCAACGTGTCTCTTATAAACTAAAGGTATAAATTCGGATGGACATGACTGTAACAAACTGGTTTAATGATGAGACAAGAACAAATTAGCTAATATGGGAGCAAGTGGTGAGCCTATGGCTACACCGTCAATATTATTGCGTCTTATTATTAAGCACAAAATGAGATTCTTTGGTCGTAATTTCAAGTAGTTTCGTAAATTGATTTTTAATTAAGTCATTGACTTTAGTGTTTCAAAGAAATACTAACTCACTACTTAATTTGATTACTTCTTCAAGAGGAATGTTAGTGTACAATGACTTAATATCAAAACTTGGTGATGTATATAGATGACTCAAATTCTATGGATTTGACGAAATTAGAGAAATCAAAAGAGTCTAACGGATTCTTAGTAAACGGAAGTAACAACTTGTTTAAAAAAACAGCTAGTTTATAACTGTGTTATATACAATGTTAGATATAATGGGTCTGATTGGTACATCTGCTTTATGTAGTTTAGGCAGACCATACATAATGCCACTGTGTGATCCAACAGGCCTAACCTGGTTGTATACTTGATCAGAAATGGCATTCTCTCTCTCTCTTTAGTTTTAATAGGAGTATCTGAAGTTTATTTTATCTCTGTTGGGTGGGATCTTTATCTAAAACTTTAAACTTGCAAGAGTTATTTAATATGGCTGCCAGTATAATGTTGTAGCAAAATAGTCTTATAGTATTTAGAGCTCATTCTGGACATTTTCTCGACTCTTTAGATA